TATCTGCATCTCCTGCGCTCCATCAAGCCACTCCCATAATATCTGTCATCACTCAAATTAATGCACGACTCTACATTATCTGTATAGCATGTGTGTAAGACTCTAATACAATAATGAAGTAATAATTGTATGACAAATACATCTTTCAGTGAGTAAAACTGGCTGTGTCTATAGTATTAAAGACTACACAACATTATTATATTATCTCTAAATTAATTTTTAAATGATTATTATTTTAAAAATTATTGTCCCTGGATTAGTAGGGTACTCTTGTAATAAAGTAGCGGTGGTAGCGGACAGATTTTAAATATCAATTCTTCTTAAAAAGATGCGATCTAATCCTGTTTACATGAAATAAGCCTGCTCCCGATCAGGTTTAAGTTTATGGACCTGTTGCTATGACAGCAAGTCCAGGATAAGCTTCGAAGAACCAAACAATACAAGATCATGCCAAATCGTCAACAATCAAATCCAGCTAACTGAGTTAGCGACGTACGAAGAACGGGCCCCTGGACAGCAAAAATCTCTCAAATCAAATAAATAAACAAAAAATTAAAATAAATACCTATGTGAATATTTTAAACTTCTCTATCTCACTAATAACAAATTGGTTATAGGGATTGAGTAATGAGGCAGAAAACATTTGACACCCATTCATTCAGCTCAAGCTATTCTTCAGTTAATGCATGAGTGAGTTTACATTTCAGCTTACTTGCATAGTTCATCTTACCTTTCTGGCAATAATAAAGGTAATGGAGTAAGGTAACACGTTTAAACGTTGGGTTGTAGGGCATAATTTTAACCACTAGATAACGCTAGAGCTGCTTAATATCCATGATACCAGAGAGTTCAACACTGCAGTGCCAGACAAATGTGCTAGACAGGGCTCATGAGACAGCGAGAATTGTTATTAGTGTGATGATGAAATAAATAGCGAATGTTGACTTTTCTTCACAAGATCAATAATTGTGAAAGCAAAATGTCAACAAATAAGATAGCCTAAGCCAGTGGTTCTCAATTCCAGTCCTGGGGGCCCCCTGCTCTGCACATTTTGCATGTCTCCCTTATTTAACACACCTGATTGAGATCATCAGCTCATTAGTTCAGTTCATGGATCTCTCTCCTAACAAGCTGATGATCTCAATCAGGTGTGTTAAATAAGGGAGACATGCAAAATCTGTGTTAGATAAGGTAGACATGAAAAATGTGCAGAGCAGGGGTCCCCCAGGACTGGAATTGAGAACCACTGGCCTAAGCAATGCACATTTACAGTAAATCATGTTGCAAAAGATGACATGATCAGTCATTATTATTGCCTTTCTGTCTTCCCTTGAAAAAGGTAAGTGTGGATACAAATAGGTGAGTCTGGATGTTCTTACTGATGAACTATCAATAAAATATTATCCTTCACCATATCATCACCCAGATTTGAATTCATAAACTGTAAAATCTATTTAAATCAATTAAATTAATACATTTGTGCAATACAGCTGAAACTGAAACCATAAAAAACATTTTTGTTACTTGAAATAAAATAAACGTTAATTGAGATAAAATGTTTAAAAAAACTGTTTATTTTAGATTTCTTATTGTAATTTGTAACTTGATTTAACTTGATTAACTTGTGCTAAAATAACTAATACTAAAATAAATAAAACCTATATAGTTATGAATTAATAAAAAAAAAACTACTAAACTTTTGTCAAAAATTAAAACGACAGAAAATATAAAAATTAAAAAACTGATATCACGATATAGTTATTTTTGCTTTAAATAAGGTCTTTATAGGTCTCTACAGTAAAAAAGAAATGCTACATTGTGTAATCAAATGTATAAAAACTGCACATTCTTCACTATGTACATTAAAATATATATTTCTTCTAATAAAGTTACAAAAGTTATTTAGTCAAGAGCAGTGAGATTTTCTCTTTTGTTGTTTGATTAACATGAATGACAGACAGCAGGAATATTAGACTGCTGTCACTTTAAGAGCTGCCCAGATCCAATATACAGTTACACATGTGTTTTCTTTCTCAGCTATTTGCTTTCACTTAAGACCTACTGTGTTTACAAGGATACTTGCAAAGACGGGCATTTTGACACATACAAGTGTGTGTATTTAAGTTCAATACTCCTGTGCTCTATGTGCACCATCTTCATGAGTTCTTTTTCACTGCTGATTGCATTCCAATGGCTTAAAATCACTTGTTTTTAAACCGTAATGCTTAAAAACGTGTGCAAATGATAGGTTTTCATGACCACGTAGCACAGCAATGTCACATAAGCATGTAGCCGTGGTAAAGACGATAGTCCAAAATCTACCGGTTGACAAATTTCTACCAGTTAATGGTGTCTACCGGTACACCATTACCGGTACCCCTAATCTCAATTATGTAATACTGGTAATTATTTCACTAAATTATCTCTCAGTCTATTGTACTACATTAAAATAGTAAAAAATACAGTTAATATGCTTATACAAGCATATTCACATAAGAGAAAATATAATTAACTGAAAAAATTACAAGGTAAACGGGGGGAAATAGTTCTAAAAGTGCCAGGTATAGTGAATAGTTTATAGTTTGTCAGAGAGTTCAACAGCTTGGGACAATAGTGACTAAAGTCCACTTTTTTTTTTGCAGTGTTTTGGGTTTAACCAGCAGCCTTCAGTTAAATTATATGCCTGATCTGGCTGGACTATATTTAGCAACACTTTTGCCAAAGTATGCAGGGACAACACCATGAAGACATTTAAAATCAGTTCCCTTTCAGTCGGTCACTCTCGACGTCACGTCGGATGACCGACGAATTGGGATCTCGTAAGATCAAGGTAGCAGTGAAAGGATTTAAGCACATTCTGTGACACAAGGTAAGTCACTTAAATTCCCTTCACTCTGGGATTTGGATGACAATAGGTGAGCTTACTCATACTAAATGCCACAACAGACGCAAAAAATGAGGAATGTGAATTCTGTCCTGGTGAGAATGGGCAGAGAAGATTCTGATTGGCTGAGGGAGCTGTCAGCACTGGGTTTTGAAGCTTGTGGTCAGATTAAATGAGAGAATGAGAGAACCGTGGCAGCAAAAAGAGGGGCCAAGATAGCAGGAAGGACTCACTTTAAGCCTTGAGAAAAGCCGTCATGACGCTCATTGAGATTATCTTCATCTTGACCGGGACTTGTGCTGTCCTGGTTTTTGGAGGGAAATTAGTATGCCTGCTTATGATGCTTGTCCCGAAGCTCTTCTGTCCTCTTCCTAAGACTTTTTTCACCTCTCTGGGGAAATGGGCAGGTGAGATACACCAGCATTTTGATTTTAATTTGTGTTGAGCATGCATTTTCTATATAAACCAGCCTTTTTATACTTGAAAGATTTTTGCAAATAAATAAATAAAGAAAATAATAATAAATGCATGAAATAAAGTATTAATAAATAAATAATGAGAAAGTAGCAATGTTAAACTTGTGACATATACGCTAACAATAAAAAAGCTGGATTTTGTTGGTAACCCTTTATAATAACTTTCATTAAGAACACTATTTCACATTACTACATTAAATATAGCTTAAAAGATAATTAGTTTTAAAGTTTCAAATTAGCTAACAGTTAGAAATGTCATGATTTCAGCATTTAAGAAAATGCAATGCTTATTATATCTTCTGAACTGACCCCCTGCTGTACCTTGAGGGAACCCTGGTTGAGAACAGTGGATTTAAAGCAGTGAACCATGTAGCCCTCCTACAAACCATCACTACCTTGGTTTTGTTCCACCGTTTGGCTCAGGAACAAGGTTCTCATCTCACTTTAAATTGTCCCTCACAAAGTGTCTTGCTTTCCTAAACACTGTTTTTTGTTGTTGACAAAAGAGAGACCCTCCTTATGGCTTTCTTGAAATCCTACTGAGTATACAAGTTCAGCAACAAAAAACAACAATTCCAGCCACTTTTTCCCAAGCTTCCTTTCCATTCCATTCCGGCACTGAGAGTGGCAGAGAACAAAAGGCAATTAGAACAGTATGTTCCAGGACGTTATTACTCTTTTTTTTTTTTTTCTTGACTTTGAATGGTTGTTCCTGTTCATTTGAAATCAAATTAACATTACTTTTTTCTCCTTCTGCAACTATTCTTTCTCTTTAAGGCTTTGAAAAGTTCTTGTGTGTGTGTGTGTGTGTAAGAGAGAGAGAGGGAGAGTGCATGCATTACAATATCCCTTTGCAGGGGGTGTTTTGTAGCATGTTTAGACACAGTACATCTGCTATTCCTTTCACTATAAATAAATAATCATGCAGAGAGTTTTGTAAGTTGTTATTCTAGTTGGTTTAGCCAGTATGAGTGCATGATAGAATGCCGTAAGATTTGCATTCTTATTCTAGAGACATATTAGGTTTCTAAAGGATCATGTAACACTGAAGACTGGCGAAATGACTGGTTAAAAACTCAGCTTTGCCATCACAAGAATATTTTTAAATATATTTAAAAAGAAAACAGTTAATTAATTATTTAGTATTTTGCAATACCACTGATTTATTTTATTATTAATCAAATAAATGCAGCCTTGGGGCCCCACGGAGCATGATTTTACTGAGGGGGCCCCTCAGGGACCACTTGCTTATAGGGCCCCCCAAAATTATAATAAGTAATACATTTGTTTTTACATAATTTATGTTAGTTAATATAAATATAAGTGTTCATTGTTAGTTCATAGCTTGGGTATATTAAATAATATAACATGCATATATTAATAGTATTTATTTATTACAATTGTACTTATATAATACATTTTAAAAGTTGAGGCAAGCCAACTAAAGACTGAATTGTTCACATTTGAGACATTCAAAATATTTCGCTTATCCTGAGATCTCACTGAGATCTAAAGCAGGGTACTACTTGTACTTCTTGTAC